AAAAAAAGGTAGATTATTAAATCTACTCTGAAAAAAAGAGATATAGAAATAATAGGATAAAAACGTAGATTATTGAATCTACTCTTAAAAGAAAAGAGAGGGAATATGATAGATATGATATAGCTAAAAAGGTAGATTATTGAATCTACTTTTAGAAAGCAACTGCTAGTTTTAAATATTTTAAATTGAATTGGATTTTTGTATAGTGTATACAAAGTATGTATATTGATACAAATTTCAGATTGATTTTATTAGAATATATTGTACATATATTTCTAAGCTTGTTGAAGGTATTGTACCTATATAGTTCATTTAACAATATAATGCAATTTGCTAATCCTTAAAGATATTGTTACCAACTATTACAATATAAAGAAATGAAAGTTAGTAGTTAGTCATTACAATCAAATTTATAGTCATATTAGGTATGTTTTTCAAGGTCAAGCAGAGATATATTTTAGATAGATAGGTCATCTTCAAACATTTCAGAGATCTACAGAATATGGCATTTAAAATGTTTTAATAACATAGATTTTTCCCCCTTTTTATGACTGAGACATGTCTGCTCATGGCAGCACCAGTCTACTTCAGTGAAGGTGATGAGCATTGAAGAAACTCCATATGGAGATTACTTTCATTGTGGCAAAAGTTAGCCACTAGCAAGAAAGTGCCCTGGCATCAACTGCTGACAGTATGCTGTCCAAAATGGACAAGCAAGACACAAAACAAAGGACTGCCGATCCTTGCCAAGACAGGCAGGAAGGCTCTTGAGAAAATCCTGCTTCACAGATGAGTCTGTTAGATATGCTAAGCCTGTAGGCCAAAGATGATGCCCCAGTATTGCAGAAAAACCTCTGGTGACTGTCTAGGCAGCTAACTGTTTCTGTCATTTCTCACACTTTTTGGAAGTTGCTTGTTTGCACTTCCTGTCTTACTAGGTAATATTATTTCCTTCTTGGGTCTCTGAGAGAGTTGAATATTAGATAGTTATAGTTTTCCTTGTTAAGAAATTCAGAAAAGAAACTCACTAAGGAGGTGTAAATTGTATAAGTTTGAAAGACATCAGAAGATTGTTTTGGTATTGCAAATGTGTATAGAATGTAAATTAAATACAATTCTTTGGATTCACAAAAATAGGATAGATAATGGAATATTTTCTCTGAATTTGTCAAATGCAAATGAACTAGACATTATTGATTTATTTATTGCTTGCATATGTTGTATATAGTTTTTGTACTTATTGTATATAGTTTTTCTTACATTAGTTATAACTTTTTATTTTTTATTTTAGACAAAAAGGGGAAATGTGGTGATATATTGTGCCCCCCAATATATCGTGCACCCTAATAAAACTTATCTGAGAATCAGAAGAAGCAGCCAAGCACTATATTAAACATAGGTAGCACATGCCTTTAATCCTAGCATTCAGGAGGCAGAAATCCATCTGGATCTCTGTGAGTTCAAGGCCACACTGGGAACAGAGTCAGGTATGGTGGCACACGCCTTAAATTCCAACACTAGTTACCCATAAAGGTCTGGAGTTCTGTACAGACAGACAGGAAGTGACAGAGGTGGGCAGAAAGAGAAAGTGATATAGCTGGGCAGAGAGAGGAGATGAGATTTCAGGGACGGAAAGGCATATAGGTGTGGGTATACAGGAAATAGGTCTGTCTGGAGACTGAGGTGTTGGTAGGGTAAGGCTGGCTGTGGTTTATCCTATTCCTCAGATCTCTCAATTTTTTACTCCAGGTTTTATATTAATAAGACCATTTAGCAATTCATCTTATAGATACCACTGTGGAGACAGAGAGGAAAATAACTCATGGGACTCATACTTCTTTACCTTTTAACCAGAACATTTCCACATTTTCTTTCTTTTTTTTTTAAGTATTCATTTTAATGTTAATGAGTGTTTGCCTACATATATGTCTGTGTACCATGTGTGTGTCCCGAGTGTGGTGCTATTGTGTTCCCCAATATATCGTGCACGCTAATAAACTTATCTGGGGTCAGAGAACAGAACAGCCATTAGATATAGAGGCCAGAAAATGGACACACACACACACACACACACACACACACACACACACACACACACACCTTTAATCCTAGCATTCCGAAGGCAGAAATCTGTCTGGATCTCTGTGAGTTCAAAGCCACACTGGAAACAGCCAGGCATGGTGACACATGCCTTTAATCCCAGGAAGTGATGGTAGAAAGGTATATAAGGCATGAGAACCAGGAACTAGAGCCTGGTTAAGCTTTTAGGCTTCTGAGCAGCAGTTCAGCTAAGATCCATTCAGATGAGGACACAGAGGCTTCCAGTTTGAGGAAATGAGATCAGCTGAGGAATTGGCAAGGTGAGGTTGGTTGTGGCTGGTTCTATCTCTCTGATCTTTCAGAATTGACCCCAATACCTGGCTCTAAATTTGTTTTTATTAATAAGACCTTTTAAGATTCTTGCTACGCCTGAGACCTGTGGCTGTCAAAAGGAGGCATTGGATCCGTCTTGGTTTGGGTTACTGATTTAACACATGACCAAGAGGCAAGTTGAGGAGGAAGGGGTTTATTCAGCTTACATTTACACAATGTAGTAGTTCATCATTGAAGTAAGCCAGGACCAGAACTCAAACAGGCAGCAATCTACAGAGGCCATGGAAGGGCGCTGCTTACAGGCTTGCTCCCCATGGCTTGGTTAGCCTCCTTTCTTAGAGAACTAAGGACCACCAGGTCAGGGATGCACCACCCATATTGGGCTGAGCCCTTCCCCATCCATCAGTAATTAAGAAAATGCCTTATAACTGGATCTTATAGAGACAATTTTTTTCTCAATTGAGGTTCCCTCCTTTCAGATAATCCTAGCTTGTGTCAGATCTACAGGAACCTAGCTAGCACGGGCTCCCCTTGAATTCGAGGGACAGATGGTTGTGATTCACCATGTGGTGCTGCCAACCAAACCTGGTTCTTTGCAAAAGGAACAAACACTCTTTACTGCGGAGCCTTTTTTTTTGTAAGAATAGATCTGTGTAGTGTTATTTAATGTACAGAACAAGGTGTATTGGAAAGAAGCCATCCTAATGTTGACTTTACTGTTGTTTTTGCCTCCATTCTCTTCCTGGCAGAGCTGGCCTGCTCTTTTTCTTCACAGTCTTCCAGACCATCACAAGTGTGTCTGCCAGGGAGCTCTTTGAGATTGACAGGGACCGCTTTCTGTGAGTAGCTCCTGTTCCAGAAGCAGGCATCAGGGTCTGGTGATCAAGTGAACTACATTCATAGTTGGACCTAGAATGTTATCTCATGAATTACCACTAATTCCCCCTTTTTATTACATATTACATATTTAGATGAAAATAAACAAATTGTGAAATTTTGTGTTTACCATGTGGTATCATGATTTTTGAAATATGTAATGAGATTACTAATTTTAACTGAAAAATGGGTGGGAAATCAAGAGAAGAGTTGTCTGCTGTTCAGTGAAATTTTCAAATTGAGGTGTGGTCACCAGATCTCCATTATACAGATCACACAGTAGTAGGTGACTGAAAATCACAGGAAATTTATGACCGCCCCCCCCCCCAGTAAAGATGTCAGGGTGTCACAGAGCTTAAGTGTGGTGGGTTCAGCAGCACATTGGGGTTGGAGAGGCACAGCTACATAAGAATGAGAATCTCCTCTTGATGGCGGGCTGGAAAGAGCCAGTCAGCAGCTGTGTAGAAAAGAGCTTTCTATCTCCTGTGTTTTTCAAACATGGAAGAACGTTTCTCTGGTGGCCTATGCTTAGGATTCACTGCTTTCAAAGATGGCCAAGATTTGCCTCCAAGTGCACACCAAAGAGAGGAGTCATCAGAGAGGAGCTGAGGGCCTCACTCAGTAGTTAGAGTGCTTGCTTTGTGTGCATGAAATCCTGTGTTAGATTCATAGTGTCACAAGCCCCAAGCATGGCTGTATTCCTGTAATCTCAGCTCTTAGGGCCAAGGTAGAGGCAGGAGGATGGTCATTCTTGGCTACATACAGAATTTAAGTCCAGCCTGGACTGGTGACATTGTGTCAAAGAAAAAAAAAGTCAGAAATACAGTGAAGACACTGGAGGGGAAGAACCTGGGATTTGAAAGGGCCAGGAAGGGAAAGGATTAGGTTTGGTATCTGGCTGTCCTAAAGAGAGTAGAAGAGGAGAATGATAGTGTCCTGGAGCTGCACTGTGACCTCAGAGTGACAGTGTCACCTTCATAAGAAATGGAAGGAGAGAAGTCTCCATGACCACTGTCTGAGGTGAGGTAGGAATGAGCTGCTCCTCAGGGAGCCAGCTTCAGAGGGGCAGAGACTCTGAGGAGAGAGGGCACATCAGACTGTTTCCCTGGAGGGGCTGTTGTGTGACCAGAGTGGACATAACAGGGGAGAGTTCTCTGATGGGGAGAATCCTAGTGAGAATGTCATCAGGATGCTGGCCTAGGGATGCTGGTCCCTAAGATGGGGATGTGTATGGGAGTCAGCCTAAAGCACAGGGGACACTGTCCTGTTAGACTCCCTGTCAAGGCAGAAGTCAGGGTAGCCAGCATCTCACCTGTGTCTTCTGGACTAATCTAAGGATGTATAACGTGATCTTTGTCTCTGTAGACATGAGCATACCAGTGGATACTACAGAGTGTTACCATATTTCCTTGGGAAATTGCTGGCTGAGCTGGTACCCAGGAGGTTATTACCAAGTATTATATTTACTGTTATAGTATTCAGCATAGCAGGTAAGTGACAAAGCAAGACAGTGAGTCTTTACTCTTGGGGGAGCGTGTTTTGGTTTGCACAACTGTGGCAAGTCTAAAGTAGAAAAGCACGTCTCCACTGTGTGCCATCTAAAGCAGGTGTTGAGTGTGAGGAATGTCTCCAAAACTTATTCACAAAATACTACAAGAGCTGTTTATGAAATTGTGCATTTACTAGAGATTCTATGCATTATAATGAATGTATTAATAATGTAACCATTTGAGACAGTGCCAATGGAGCAAAACTAATTATTACATTTCTATCCATATTTGTTGTAAAAGATTTATTTTTACTTTGTGTGTGTGTGTGTGTGTGTGTGCACTAAGTGCATGCAGTGCCAGGGGAGGCCAGAAGAGGACATCAGATCCCCTTGAACCGGAGTTACAGGATGTGAGCCACCATGTGGGTGCTGGGAATGGAATACAGGGCTTCTACAATAATAGCACATGACTTTAATCAGTGAGCCATCTCTCCAGCTAAGCCGTATATTTTTTGCTGTTTTTGTGTTACTGTCTCTATATGCAAATAAAATATAGAAAAGTGGATAATATCTCATACATATGTATGTGTGTAAAAGAACTTAAATGTATACAGTGTCTTATGCTACCTAATCTTACAAAGAGAGAGGATACTGAATTTGAGGTTTGTTGAAATTATATAATATAAATAGTTATTTGAAATATGTGTACAAATTCATTTGAACATTATGGTTAAGCTTCACTCTAGACTAATTGTTCAAAATTTCCATACATTTCAAACACACACAGACACACACACACACACACACACACACACACACACACACAAGATAAGCACTGATAAAGCTTAGACTTTGATTTAAAAGAGATTTCCATTCAGAACCAGTCATTTAGGTCATGGGATGCTTATGGGAAATGTACTTGTCCAGTGAGCCTGACAACTTGAATTTGATCCTCAGAATTCACAGTGGAAGAGAGAACCACTCCAGAAAATTGTCCTTCAGCTCCACATACACACTATGGCACATGTACACCACGATATGAGCACCCTTATATCCACACAAGCATTATACACACCATGATAATAATAGTGATAACTTTGAAAACAATTGGACATGGAACTCAGCTCCCCCAGGATATAACTTGTATTCTTGTGACTACTATAAAAACACAGGCCATTGCATGACTCATAGCATTAGCTTTATGAAGATTACAAATCAGCTTGTGGAACTCATTACCTTCCTCCATAGTTACCTGGTGATTTCCTAGGAAAACTAAACTTGGAAGCACTTCCTGCCCTCTAGATATTAAAACCACTGCAAGGTTATTTAATCCTTGCCTTAGCTAGGTTTCTAGCACTGTGATAAACACCATGACCAGAAAAATATTGAAGTGGAAAGGGTTTATTCATCTTACAGTTCAATGTACTTCAAAGGAAAGATAATTCGGCCTGAGGTACCAACCCCTAGCAGCACAGAGCTCAAAGGGAATCCACAGAGTTGGCACGCACTAGACTTTTTTATCTGAACATGTTAGGGAAAAAGACACCCACAGACTCTTTGATGGTTTCCTTCAGGCCCCCTCTTTATTCTTCCTTTGCATTTTCTATTCTTCCTTTTCCTGGTGATTTCCTTCTCTCATTCTTTATGTTTTCCTTCTTACACTATTTTTATTCTTGATATTTCCTTTCTTGTTCCTTGTAACTCTCTCATTCTTGATGTTTTGTTTCTAGCAATATAACTCTATCTTCATTCTTCTTCTTACACCTTATCTATCCCAGCAAAATTTTTCAGGCAATATAAAAATTACAATGTGGTTACCCTCTGTTTTTCAAGTGAATGACTACAATGAATACAAAACAAACAGTAAAAAAAACCAGCATGTTTTCCATATCCCTTACATGATTAAACATTTTACATATTACAGGTGAAAAAGAAATTATCCCAAGAACCCATGTATATTCATACTCAAGTAACTGGTTATAGATTAACCACATAGACAAGCAAGATATTCTTCTCAGTCAGGTCTTTTACTGGCAGGCTGCAATTTTTTAGTTTCAAAGAAAGGGCCACTTACTTTATTACTTACCTTAAAAGGTAATCTTATAAGGAATTTTAAAGGAATCACAAACCAGCTCTACTTTAAATTTGTGGGTTGCATTCCCACTCATCAATAATTTCTTATATCAGGAAATTGAGGGCAAAAATGGGCACAAGGAATAACTCATCACCTTTGATCACCAACCAAACTTAGCTAAGAATATATGTCAGCTAGCAACAATTGGGCTGTGTTGTATTCTTGACCCTAAGCCAATGAATCTATAACTCAGCTACGTGTCCTTGTAAACTTTAGATTTTTTTCTGGTGTTTTTCATCTCAACACTATAATAGAAACATCTCATCTAACCTGAAGTTAAATAGGCTTTGTTTCACCTAATGATGCATAACCAAACCTGTGACTGCATCATTCAGCATTAAGATAATTAGAGCCAGCCTGGCTCCTGAGGTCTCAATTGTTTTCCTTAATCATCAGCCTGCACTGCATTATATGCAGACACTTAAGTGAAACTCATGGGCCCTAGCAGTGTGTTATTTTTTAATTTATTTTTATTCATCAAAACCCTGCATAAACTAACATCATTATTATCATTTAGAAAGTACAGCATAGG